ACTCAAGGTCTAACTCTGCATAAATTAGCAGCCTGGCACAGACTAAGGGGGTGGGGGGGGTTCCTTCCCCCACCCCTCTCCATTTTCTAAAAAAAGAGACGTGAAATCTTTTCAAGGAAAGAAAACCAAGGAAGCCCAGTTGTCTTTTGAAAAGTACCTTTGGGGCAAAGTCTGGTTATGAAATGTTTGCAAGAAAACCACCACGAGGAGTAAAAAAAAAAAAAAAACCATTATGCAAAGCCCCCTTGAGTTATTTGTAAAAATAATAAAAGGCAGGATGCAAATAAATAAAATTTAAAAACAATAATACTCCTACCAAGATAGACAGGGCAAGTCTTTAGTGTAGGGGTCTGCAACCTTAAACACTCAAAGAGCCATTTGGACCCGTTTCCCACAGAAAAGAAAACACCGGGAGCCACAAAACCCTTCCCGTGCCTGACTATTTCTTGGGCGGCCACAAAACTAGCATATGTTGTTGAATTAAACGTTCTGTTTTCTTCTGAAACTTTTCTTTTCTTGGATTTATCCATGGTTGGCCTACCGGGAATCAAAAAGCTTAATAAATTGTGTGTCGGTGGGTGTCACACATTGGCAGTTGCGACGCATATTTTGAGTGAGAGGGAGCTGCAGCAGACGGGTGAAAGAGCCACATGCGGCTCCAGAGCCACAGGTTGCTGACCCCTGCTCTAGTACATAAATAGGGAATAAACCCCACTCCCTTCTACACTGATGATGTTACCTAGTTGGGTCTCGAAATGTCTGCAAGAGAACAAAGAGAGCACCAAGGACTCCACTTCTTGGAGAAGGCCTCCTGAAGGTGGGACTCAACCTGGCTCTCGAATCTGCCTTGTCACTCATCTTCCCTTTCATGGCCCCAGCAAGCTCATTTCCAAACAAACCCAGATCAGCCACCTTCCTCCTTGCAAAGTGGTGCCCCACCCATCTGGGACCAGGCTGAGGTCACAATTTTTGGGGGGCGGTGGGGGGGGTTGCTTCCTTGTGGTAGGAGGACACCAAACACAACATAGACGGGCTCCACGGTTCCTGCAAAACCTTTTCAATTCCTTTTAACAAAACCAGGGCTAAGCAGCGGATGTGGGGATAAAGAGCAAGGTCTCAGGGTCTCTCTCTCTCTCTCCTCTCCCCACCACTGCGATGGGCAAGGCCCTTGACCTCAAAGAGGCAGAGGCGAGGCCCAGATGGACCTCGGGGGTCAAGTTTAGCTTGCCGGACTGCATAAACCTTTCCCCCAAAAGGAAGGAGTTAAAAATCCGCTTTCGTTCCACAGACCAACCATCACAACAACAACCGAACGCATTTTCTCCAGAGCTGGGGGAAGGGCGGGTGGGGGGCTGGTCTCCCCAAACTTTCCCTTCAGGCGTGGGAGGAACACAGCCGTGGTCCAGAACAAAAGAGAACCAAGCAAAGTGAGTGTCTCTCGTCTTCCGAGGACATTTCTAAACGCCTCCACCCTCCGATAACAATCATCATAAGATGATGGAGCACCATCGGCGTTGACAAAATTCCCCATCAGTCAATTGCAAATGGCAGCTTTGCTGGGAACAGCTTATACTTTGCAAGGAGGCGTTTACAACCCTCAAACAACACCTGCCCACCCCAAGTCCCTGGGAAGGGCTGGATGGGTGGATAAAAATGCCAACTCCAGTTTGAACATCTGTCTGATTGTGCAACAACCCACCACAATAATAATATTGGCATTGACAAAAATCCCTGTCAGTCAATTGCAAAAGGCAGCTTACACCCTGCTACAAGACTTTTATAAGACCTGCTACCACCCAACCACAACACCTGCCCAGCCCAGCTCCTTGGAAAGGACTGGATAGGTGGATAAAAATGCCAGTGCCAGCCTGAACATCTGTCTGACCGTGCCACCAACCACAATAATAATAATATTGGTATTGACAAAATCCCTGTCAGTCAATTGCAAAAGGCAGCTTGACACCCTGCTACAAGAGTTTTACTACCATCCAACAACATCTGCCCAGCCCAGCTCCTTCAGAAGGACTGATGGGTGGATAAAAATGCCAATGCCAGTCTGAACATCTGGCTGACAGGGTGAGGAATTGTGACAATGACAACCTCGCCAGTCAATTGCCAGAGGCAGCTTGACTGGCTGCAGTTTACAGGAGGCTTTTAAGAGGATCGAATAACATCTGTCCTCCCAGCTCCTTGGGAAGGACTGGATAGGATAAAAACATGCCAATTCCAGCCTGAACATCTGGCTGACTCTGCAATCGCCCATAATCAGAGTAACTTTTTTTTCCCTACGGTCTTCCTGAACCTCTTTTTCCAAGCTTAATGCCCAGCCCATGGACGAATGCAACCCCTTCCACGCAATCCTGAGCCCACCGACCAATTAATTCCCTTTCGTTTTTCTGATAAAGTTTCGGAGCGAATCAAACTCCTCCTCCTCTCCTCCTCCTCCTCCCAAACTCCCATCGAATTTAAAGACACGGGTTTTTGTTCTGTTTTGTTTTTGCTTCCACGCGTTGGAAACCTCGCAGAAAAAGAGGAGGGGACGAGATTCGGGTGCAATTGTAGCCTCACGTTTACTTATCCAAAAACCAGGCCCTTGTAAGGGGGTGGGGGCGGGAGGAGGCAGATAGATAGATAGATAGATAGATAGATAGATAGATAGATAGATAGATAGATAGATAGAGTAGGGAAGGAAGGGAAGGAAGGAAGGAAGGAAGGAAGGAAGGAAGGAAGGAAGGAAGGAAGGAAGGAAGGAAGGAAGGGAAAGAGCAGATAGTTAAATGGACTAGATAGATAAATAGATAGATAGATAGATAGATAGATAGATAGATAGATAGATAGATAAGGTAAGGAAAGAAGGAAGGAAGGAAGGAAGGAAGGAAGGAAGGAAGGAAGGAAGGGAAAGATAGCAGATAGTTAAATGGAATAGATAGATAGATAGATAGATAGATAGATAGATAGATAGATAGATAGGGTAAGGAAAGAAGGAAGGAAGGAAGGAAGGAAGGAAGGAAGGAAGGAAGGAAGGAAAAGGAAGGAAGGGAAGGAGGGAAAGATAGCAGATAGTTAAATGGACTAGATAGATAGATAGATAGATAGATAGATAGATAGATAGATAGATAGATAGATAGATAGAGTAAGGAAAGAAGGAAGGAAGGAAGGGAAAGATAGCAGATAATTAAATGGAATAGATAGATAGACAGACAGAACTTTCGGCCTCCGTTTCCTTTGCAAAAAAAACCGAAACACGCCCACTTTTATACAACTCGCGGAGCGGGTCGCGATTCACACGCATTTCTCTCTCTCTCTCTTTTTTTTTTTTCGTTTAGGATTCCGACGGACCTGCGCGGCGCCCCTCCTCAGAGGAGTCAACCCCCCTTGAATCGATTCCCCCAACTGCGGCCGGGCCGAGGTTCAGCGAAAAGCGCAGAGCGGGGGAAGAGAAGAGAGGAGGGCTCCGTGAAATCTCCCTTTAACCGTTTCTCCCCGGCTGCTTACACGCCGCTCCCCCCCCCCCCCCCCCCCCCCCCCCCCCCCCCCCCCCTACACACACACACACACACAGAGGCGTCCTCGCCCCCCCCAGCCCCCCCAACCAGCCTTTATTTGCTAAAGACGGCCAAAGGACAATTGTCGCTCGGAAACTCGCCGACGTCGGCTAAAGCTCCGCGTTCCCTTTGCTCCCCGCAAGACTTGGAAGAAATTTTGAGTTTTTCCCACGCACCCCCCGACCAAAAGCCAAAGGCTTTAGTCTTCTTTTACAGACCCCTCGCCAAGAAACGGAGGACCCGGAGAAAATCCATTCCAACCGAAGAAGAAGAACTGGAGGAAAAGAGGCGCTGGCGAACAGATGATCTCGGCTAGTCCCGGACTCGCAAGGGACGTTTGGACGGCAGATACGGAGAAAACGTCATCAAATTATTTTAAGGGGTCCTTCATTTACATGATTTACAATCCCAGAGGGAAGGGGGGGAAAATCCAGGTTTAATCCACCAACATTAAAAAAAGAGAGAGAATCTTTAAAAAACCATCCCAGATTTCCTGGAAAATGAATGTTTCTTTTTTTAAAAAAAAAATTAAAGAAACTTAACCAGGGAAGGAAGGATCCGTTTTTTGTGTGTGTGTGTATCTAAGATGGCAGACAAATGGATATTTTTAAGGTAGGCCGGAAGTTCAGTCAGTCGGTTTATGGGTTTACTCGAGAGAAAAGGGAGAGAAAAGCAGAGAGACATTCCCTTCCATCCAGAGAAATATATATATATAATATTTTAAATTTACCTTCGGAGCTTTTCGTGGGTCTGTCCAGATGGTTCTTTTCTTGGTCCAAACGTTTTATGGAATTGTGGCAGTCAAAAGGTGAGCAAACTGGATGGATCCAGGAAGCCGGAACAGGAGTTTTTGCTTTTGCAAGAAGAGAAAAAGGCCCTTCGGAAAGAGAGGGAGATGCAGAACAGAAGGCCTGAAAGTTTTCTCCTGCTCACCAGCAGCTCTTCCGCAGAAATAAAAGAGCCAAAAATTAGAAAAGGAGGTGAAGAAGCAAAACCAGAAATTCGGGGGTAAAAGGGAAAAGTTTCTTTCAAACCTGTAAGCTTCCCTGCCTCCCAACAGGTTCTTTTGGATAGGTTGGCTTTTTCTGCAGAGTTGAAAAGTTGCCCTAGAATTTTAATTTTAATTAAAGAATTTAATTTTTTTAAATTTAAAATGGACATTAAAAAAAAAACGTAGAAGAAGAAAGAAAAGGGGAGGGGAAGAAATAACCAAATAAAAAAACCAGGCCTACGGTGTCCTTTCCCAAACAATAAACTTTTAATGCTAAAGCAGTTATATAACCAAAAGCTGTACATTGTCATCTGTGTGGGGGTTTTTTTTTCTTTTTCTTTCTTTTTTGTTAGAAAATGAAATTGTGTTTTTTTTAATGGGATTCTTTTTTTTTTTTCCTTCTTCTTCTCATAAATATTGTTCAGTTCCCGGCACTTGTCTCAATAATTAAATTACAAATGATAAATATGGCATCGTGGATATGTATTTACACACAAAAGAGGTATTACAAAAAGGCAACTGTTTATACTAAAATGCCAGGAGACCTGGGTGAAATTAATATCACAATATTTTTTTTTCCATTGTAAAAAATAGACTGAATGACACCCCTTCCCATTTCTGCCATTTGAAGAAAATACATTCACAACAGAAAGGAAAAGGAAAAAAGAAAGAGGGAGGGAGGGAGGGGAGAAGAGAGAGAGAGAGAAAGAAAGAAAGTGAAAGAAAGAAAAAGGAAGGAAGGAAGGAAGGAAAGAAAGAAAGAAAGAAAGAAAGAAAGAAAGAAAGAAAGAGAAAGAAGAAAAAAGACAAGAAAAAAGAAAAAAAAAGAAAACAAAGAAAACAAAGAGATCTTTGACAGGGTTTCTGTCTCAGTTAGAAAGCCAAAATGTGTTTTTAAATGTTGCGGAATTTTTTAGGCAGGTAGGTAGGAAGGAAGGGAGGGGAGAAGGAGGGAGGGAAGGAAGCAAGCAAGCAAGTAAGGAAGAGAGAGAGAGAGAGAGAGAGAGAGAGAGAATATAGGACTTTGGCAAGTTTAAAAACTGTTTTTTTTTTTTCCCTTCTACGTTTAACAATCACAACTACAAGGCCAAGAGAAACAATCAAGTTTTGTTTCTGAACATCCCACGGAAGGAGACGGGGCTGAGAAACAGACGGGTGCGAAAAATGAAACATCCACTGAAGTCGATTACAAAAGACAAGGGAAAGAAAGAAAGAAAGAAAGAAAGAAAGAAAGAAAGAAAGAAGAAAGAAAGAAAGAAAGAAAGAAAGAGGATGGGGCGCAAGAACAAACTAGAAGAATTGTTTTGTTTTTTAAAAAAAAACCTGAAAGAAACAGTCCACGCAGAAAGAAAAGAAGCTAATCCTGAGAACAGCAGACATGATTTAAGTCCAGCCTCTGGCGGCTCTTGTTGGGTTGGGGATGAGAGACGAGGATGCTGCTCCCTGACACCCCCACTTTCCTTCTTCCTTTTGCCAATCTTTTTTTTTTTTTTGGTCCGGTAAAATCCAGCAGCATCAGCAACAGGCCAGGCACGGAAGGCTGGCTGTCCTTTGATGTCTCTTGAAAATCCAAGGGAGGAGAGAGGGAGGGAGGGAGGGCAGGGGCCTCCTCCTCAGACATACCATTCATTGAAGTTGGGGGGCAGACCTGGGTTAGGGTTGGCCGTCTGAATGGTGGAAGGAGGGGCAGCTTTCCCGGAGTCCTTACTGGGGGCAGTAGCCAAGGCTGGGGGCGTGGAGGATTCGTAGCCTGAACTGGCTGCCGGAGAGGATTCGGAGCTCTGTGTTTCGTGGACCTGAAAAGGAGAGAGAGAGAGAGAGAGAGAGGGAGGGAAAGAGAGAGAGAATCATCACAGGATCAGAGCTGGTTATTTCATGGATACCTTTGGCTGCCTGTCTCAAGGGCAGCTGGCAGTGCAAACCAGATAAAAGCAAAACCAATCATTATAAAGGGAAGGAGCATAAAAGGAACAGCCCAAGAACACATTCACACATGCCTCCCCATTGTGGGGAGAGAGAAAGAGAGGAGAGTAGAGGGAGAGGGAGGGAGAGAGAGCGAGAGGAAGAGAGAAGAAGAGAGAGGGAGAGGAAGGGAGGGAGAGAGAATAGGGGACAAGTTTAACCCTCCCTCGTTCAATAGATTTTTTAAACAAACCAGCAAAAGTAGAAAAGACCCCAGCCCAAGAATAAATCTAGAATGAATCAAAACAATAAAGGATTCTGGAGGGGGAAAATGTGTTTGTATTTATGTGTATAAGAGAGAGATTGAGAGAGAGAGAGACAGAGAGACAGAGACAGAGACAGAGAGACAGAAAGACAGAGAGAGAGAGAGAGAGAGACAGAGAGACAGAGAGACAGAAAGAGAGAGACAGAAAGAGAGAGACAGAAAGAGAGAGAGAGAGAGAGAGGAGGGGGTAAACTTAAATCAAACTCCAAATCAAATATGATTTTTGACTCGAAATCAGAGAAAGTAAACAAGAAGAATTAAATTGAGAATGAACCAAAACAATATATGGGATTCTGGAGGAAAAATGTTTCGGCCTGCCCTGCAAAGGAAGGAGGCCTCCAGCCAACCTGCAGGGTGACCATTAGGAGGCATTGCCCTCGACTGATACTCCAGAGTAAGGCAAATGACCTTGGAAGGGATTTATATTTCAGAAGCTTACATCCCTGCAGGAGAAAATGCAGCTTACTTCACTGCCAACTCCTGCTTCGCCGTTCCTAAGAAAGTCTTCTAAACAGAAAGTGTGGATTTATATATAGAGAGAGAGATGAGATAAATAAAACATGGAATAGTCATTGAAGGTGAAATATTTTGCAGCAAAAAGCAAAATAAAACAGGAGCTTAAATCAAACAGGAAGTTTGATCCTAGTCTGGCCAGAATTCCAAAGTGCCATTAGTTTAAAAAATAAAACAGTAGGATAATAAAAGTTTGCACAGTTCTTTTTCTGTCCCTTTCTCTAACCCGAATGCTTACTCTAAAGGTCAAAATACAGGCAGCCCTGGATGGTCCATTTAGTGACTTGTTCAAAGTTACGTCGGCTCTGGAAAAGAGGGACTTATGATCACTTTTCACACATCCTCGTGGTCATAATTCAGACACTTGGCCACTGATTCCTAATTACGACGGTTGCACTGTCCCTTCAGCGACCTTCTGCCAAGCAAAGCCAGATTCACTGAACAATGGTGGCAAGGAGAGTCAGAAAATGGGGCAAAAGTCACTTGAGAAATATCTCGCTTAGCAACAGAAAAAATGGGGCTCAACTGTGGTTATAAGTCAAGGACAACCGCACACAGAGAAATAATAAAAAGTGCACCACATTCTGGTGAAGGGGGTTATTATGCAAATAGCTAATAGTAGACAAAAAGAAATAAATGCGCATAGAAGACTGTAATACGTAGACGTAAACAACAGAAATACTACAATAATATGTCGTATGAGTAGACAAAAAATAAATAAATGAACATAGAAGACTGTAATACGTAGAAATAAAAACAACTGTTTGGGCACAGAGACATACCGGTATCAAAATACATGAACTATGTTGTACTCTTTCTATAAATTATTGGTATTGCACGCTACGTAGTAGTAAGAGTGTAACTGTACACCCAAACGCACATGCGATCTGCTTTCATGCATAAATAGATTTCTTTTTAGCAGGAATGAGAAAGAGAGAGCGCTTGTTTGCAATTACACAACCACAGACACACAATTGACTCATGGAAGATCCAAGCTGGATATCTTTTAGCTGGATTCTGCAAGATTATTATTATTATTATTATTTTAATTCTACAATCAACACCAGAAGTGACACTGTATAAAGAGGCTTGTCACGATCAGAGCAATTACCTTCATATGCTTCCTTAAGGAACTGGGGTGAGTGTAAGACTTATCGCAAACTTTGCAAACGTAAGGCTTGTCAGAGGTGTGTACGTGCATGTGTTTCTTTCGGTCGCTGCTGTTCGCAAAACGCCGGTCGCAACCTTCAAATTCGCACTTGAAGGGCTTCTCTCCTGCAGATGGACAGGAACACAGGTGGAAAAAAATCAGAGGGGGAACAGGGAGGGGGGGCAATTTAGGATTTTCACATTTTCCTCCTTGCCTGGTTTTCTCGCTCTCCTCTGCCCCCCCCTCCAGTTCCTGAATAATTTTTGCCTTCTATTTTTTCCCATTCTGCTTTTTTTCCAGGAATAAGCTGGAGGGAGGGAAGAAGGAAGGAAGGAAGGAAGGAAAGAAGGAAGGAAGGAAAAAAGAGAGAAAAGAGAAAGGAAGGAAAGAAGGAAGGAAGGAAAAAGAAAAGAGGGGAAGGAAGGAAGGAAAACAGGGAGAAGAGAGGGAAGGGAAGAGAGAAAGGGAAGGGAGGGAGAGAGGAAAGAGAAGAGAGGGAGGGCAGAGAGAGAAAGAGGAAGGAAGGAAAAAAGAGAGAAGAGAAAGAGGGTGGGGAAGAGAGAGGAAGAGAAGGGAGGGAGGTCATGGGGTTGTTGACAATTAAATGGCCATTGTGCCTTTAATCCTGTGTTTATCACATGCAATCTTGGAAAAGATTAAGAAAATGACTTTGGAGTGATTTATGAACTATAAACAGAAGAGAAGAGGAAATAGCAATGGCCAGTCTTTAATTCTGGAGTTACTCAGGGGAGAATCCTAATAAAATGCTAGAAAAAACATTATTGGCTGCTTCTAATTTAATTTAATTTTCTTTTTCTTTTCTTTTTCTTTTTTTGGGGGGGGGAGGAACTAAACTCTTTCTCCAAAAAAAAAAAAAAAAAGCAGGGATAGGGGGAAAAAGAATACTAGGAACAAAAAAAAAAAGTATCACTGATTTAATTAGAAGATGTGCCAATCAAGTCATTAAAAAAGAGAGCGGAAGTGAGGAAAATGAGATTTCATTTGCATCTCTATGGTTCGCTTAGCCGACTGTCTGAGCAAGTCGCTTTCAAAAAAAAAAGCAATCCACACACACCTCCAATGAATGCCCCCTGCCCCCTCCCCCCTCTTGGACTCATAGGACGCCCCCCCCCCAAATCAGGAGCGGGGAGGGAGGCTGAGAGCAACGAGAGAGGAAAGCTAAGGAGGCCGAAGGAATGGCATTTGGGAAGAAAACAAAAATACCCCGCTTAAAACAAAACCATCCACGCCCACGTTAAGGTTAAAAAATAAATTCAAATCAAATCAAAGCAGCTGGCAGTTCCTTTGCGAAATTGACAAGACGTCGGCAAAAATCTGCAAGCCGGCGTTGAAATTGACCAATTGAACCTGGAGGATAAAAATGAATTTCAATCCGGATTTCAACAATCCGGAGTGAAAACAAACCCAAATACTCCCGTAGTTTTTCGGCGGTTTCTTTCCTGCCCCCCATTTCTTCTTCCCTCGCCCCTCTCTGCGCCCCCCACAACGCCCCCCACCAAATCCGCTTTGCATCTTCCCCGTCTCTCTCTCTCTCCCTCTCCCCTCAACCAGCCCCTTTTCCCACTGCGGTTCCCCGAAATCCATCCTCTCCCCCACTCCCGCGAAACCCCAAACGAACCCGGGTCCTTTTTCGGTCGTCGGAAAGCGCACTTAAACCCGAGATGGGGCGCAAAACCAGGTTTTCAACAGGTGGGGAGCCTCAAAGGGAGCCCGTCGGACGGAGCAGGGGTGCGGGTGTGTCCCCCCCTCCCCTTCTCTCTCTCTTACCTGTGTGGGTCCTTTTATGGATTTTGAGGTTCTCGGACCGCGCGAAAATCTTCCCGCATCCCGGGAACGGGCAGGGAAAAGGTTTCTCGCCCGTGTGAACGCGGATGTGGTTGACCAGTTTGTATTTGGCCTTGAAGGATTTGCCTTGGCGGGGACACTCGTCCCAGAAACACACGTGGCTGTTCTGCTCGGGACCCCCGACGTGTTCCAGCGTGACGTGGGTAACCAGTTCGTGCATGGTGCTGAATTGCCGGTCGCAGGACTTCTTGGGAGATTCTTCCAACCACTTGCAAGCCAGTTCTTGCTTGACCGGTTGCCGCATGTAGCGGAAGAAAGCGCCCGGTCCCGCGTGGTGATGATGATGATGGTGGTGGTGATGATGGGGCCCAGCCACGTTCATGCCCGCCACGTTCACGGGCCCGTAGTTGGGGAAGGGCGGAGGAGCCCCGTAGGCGTCCGCTCTGGGGCTGGAGACCCCCCGGTAGGAATCCGGCCGGCCGAAAAACTCCCCACGCAAACCCAGGTGCAGCTGGCCGCTCTCCACGGGGCCCGACGGCGAAGGCAAGCCGCCCGCGTTCTGCTCGTGCAAACCGGGAAAAGCAAGTAGCCCCCCCGCGCTGTCCGCCAAGCCGCCCGGCGCGTGGAGTCCTCCGGGTGGGTTGGTGCCGAAAAGGCCGTGGTGAGCCGGGGAGCTGCCGGGGGTCCCGCTCGGCCCTCCTCCGCCGCCGCCTCCTCCGCCGCTCGAAGGCGCTTCGGCCAGGGCGCAGCCCCCGCGGTTGCGGAAGAGAAAGTCCCGCGTGGAATTGAAGGCGGCCACGTAAGGAGAAGGCACCTGGCCGCCGCCGCCGACGTGAGGGTGAGGGGGCGGAGGGGGCGGCGGCGGATGATGGTGGTGGTGGTGGTGGGGATGATGGGGGTGCGGATGATGGGTCGGGTGGTGGTGCGCGAAGCCCGAAGCTTGAGGCGTAAATGCGGATCCCTGACCCGAGGCCAGCTCGTGGGCGGCGGGGCTGAGTTTGAAGGGAGGCTCGGCGAAAGGAGGGTGGTTGAGCCCCATGGCCACGTCGTGCGGGTGGGGGCGAGAGGCGGCGAAGCCCCCGACCCCCAAGGTGGGGAACTGGGGCCCGCCATCCAGCAGCATGGCCATCGTCCTCCTTCAGACGGCCGCGAGGGAGTCGAGCGGGCGGCGGCGTCGATCCACGGCAGCGCTCCTCTCTCGCCTCTTCCTTCCGTGGACGCCGGAGGGGACGCCCCCCCTCCCCTCCCGGCAACGCGGGGACGCTCCGAGCCCCCTTGGCCTTCCTCGGCGTCCTTCCCCTCCGCTGCCCCCACCTCCCGCCGCCTCGAGATCAGCCCCACACAATAGCCGGGCAGGCAGGAGGGCTGGCGCGGCGGCTCCGCCACGGCCACATTCACACGCGCGCCCGACCTCGCCGAACCGTGGCAGAAGAAGCAGAAGAAGAAGAAAAAGAAGAAAAAGAAAAGAGAGCCGGGCAGCTGAAGGCGGGGGGGGGCAAAAAAAACCCCACCCACCCGTCCCCGGAGGACCAAGGACGGCGATGCCCCCCGGCCGCGCGGGCCAGGAGAAAAAAAAAAATAGGGGGTCGCCCCCCGCGCTGCCCCCTCGGAGGGGATCCCCGCCGCCTGGCTTATCCGTAGGGCGCCCTCCGCTTCGGCGGAGCGACGTCCTGGCACTGGCTGGGCTCGGGCGCTTCTCCCCGGCTAACCCAGAGGGAAGCAGCCGAGGGAGGGGGCTCCGAGGAGCGAAGAGCGGGTGGGGAGGGGGAGGTTGGGGGGGCGGAGGAGGAGAGAGGGAGACCCAACTCCGGGGGGGGGCTGCGTCTGGGCCAGCCAATGGGGAGCCAGCCAGCCGGCTGTCACCTGACCCTCCACCCGGGATGCCCATTGGCCCACTTTGCCCGGACGGGCATAGCTCTCCGTATTGAAAAATGGCAGCTGGCGGCCAAACCCGTCTCGTGATTGGACGGGGCGCCCCTCCGTGGGGCGCAGGTAAGGTGAAAGGCTGCTGGCCCAGCCGGGTCCCCCCCCCCGCAGCGTTTTGTTTACTGGAGATGCGACGGAGGGGGGGAGAGAGAGGGGGGAGGGGGGAGGGGGAGGGAGGGGAGGTGCTCGCGCATCCTCCCCCTTCGCCCCCCCCCCAACCCAACCTGAGTGGGGGTCTTTGCAAGCGCCGAGCCACTTCCTCGCCTTTCGCCTGGACGCCACCCACCCGCCCCGATGCGATTAAATTGCCGTCGTAAATAATTCTGATTATTCGTGATCTTTCCCCCCCTTTCATTTCATTATTATTATTATTATTTTATTATTATTATTATTATTATTATTATTATTATTATTATTATTATTGCTGTTCTTGTGACTTTTTTTTTTGCTAGGAGGAACTAAATCCGGACGCCCCGGCACAAGCCCCATAAAACCGGGGAGAAAAAAAGTGGGGTCTCCTTCCTTCCCCGACCGAAGGAGGCGATGATTCCAGGGAGGGGGGGGGGGGGGGGGGGGGATGGGAGGTGGGGGAGAGCGATCGTCCTGGCGTGGAACGTCTCTTGAACTAACCGGATCGTGGCCTCCGTCCTCCGAAACCGTTTTAGGGGTCCTGGGAACCGGTTGGGAAGCCACGTTTCTCTCTTTTCGATCCTCCGGGGCGGAGGGGAGGGGGCCGGGACGTGGGGAGGAAAAAAGTCCCCTCGTGGTCCACGCGAAGCGAAGAGCGCTGGGCGAAAGGCCGATGCGTGGAGCTCGTGTATGTGACACGCGCGGGTTTCTACAGAAATGGGGACGCGAGGGGGGGTCCTTGGTGCTTTTTCTGAGTTGAGCTGGTTTCAAGCTCAAGAGCATTCAGGACCCCTCCTCTATTTTAAGAGACGTTCCTTAACAGCTTGGCCAGGACCCCGCTTTGCTCTTTTTTCGAGGGGGGGGCTTTATTCTTTTCCCGACCACCACCCCCGGGGAGAGCGGAGACAGTTCTGATTTAGGGCTGGTTTGGGCACGGGGGGCCCTCCAGAGTACTTCCTCGGGGAAACGGTCCTCTTGGCCGGGCCGAGCGAGAAATCCTGGCGGGTGGAGAGAGAGATCTCGGCGGCGAGGAGCCCCATTGCCTTCCGCTGTCCTGCTTCTCCTCCTCGTCCGACCGCGAAGCTTTGCCTCGCCTTAGAGGCGCTTTGGAAAAACCTTTCCAAGGAGAAAAAAAAAGTGGGGGGGGGAGAGGAAATTAAGGGAAAGCGAGGCTGGGAAGGAAAATCGGGATGGAGGCGGGGGGTGGGGGGGCGGAGATGGGGAGAAGGGAGGGGGTAAAAAATGAGGCCGGCGGTTTTGGTGGGGTTGCTCTGCCCAGTTAGGGAATGCCAAACCCCCCACCACCCCCACCACCCCCGCGCTTTGAAAACACTCCAAGGAAAATTCGCCGCTCTTCCAGGCAGGAAACTTGCGCGTTTGATCCAGCCAGAAAGAAGGCACTTGGGGGTCTAAAATGCAGCCAGCAGCAGCCGCCTCTAAACCCCCCCCCTTCCCCTCGCCAACCCTTCACCATCTTTATTTTAGGGAACTGGTCAAAAGGGAATTGGGGGGGGCGTGGAGAAAGAGCGCAAAACCAAAGACAAGGAAAAGGGGAGAAATAATAAAGCTTTAATCTCCCCTTCCCCAATTCACAGACCCCACCCCCTCCTCGAAAAAAAAAAAACGGGAGTCCGCTCCTTTCTCGGTCGCTTTTACTCGCTAACTTTTTTGGGGTACCCCCCGCCCCTCCCCCTCCCCGCCCCTCCGTCTCCTGGCCGGTGGGCAACTGAGAAAGAAGCTTCACGGGGAGGGGGGAGGAGGGGGTGGGGGAGGAGGAGGAGGCAGCTGCGGGGAGGGAGCAGAGCAGCAGTGAGGGTCGGCGGGGTTTTTGCGCCTCCTTGGTGCGTCCCCACAACACAAGACACACGCGCGCGGGAGGGCGGGGGCGCGCGCACGGGCACGCAAACCGGGGCAAAGAGGAAGCGGCCACGGGCGAGCGGGCGTTGTCTTGTTTTTGTGTTTGTGTTTGAAAGACTCCGCATCGGTAATGGCGTGCGAAGGAAGGGGGGGAGGGAGAGGGAGAGGGAGAGGATGGGACGCCCCCCCTCCTCCCCCAAGAGCGCGAGAAAGCACGGGGAGGGAGGGGGCTTGGAATCAACATTTTGCAAATCCGGAGAGACGAGGAGGGAAACCCCCCACTCCTCCCGGCGGCCTTTGATCCGTGGGGTGGGGAGGGGGTTTCACGGCCTTCCCGGGGTCTGCAGGAACTTTCTCGACCGCTGTCCCAGCTCTGCGAAGGAGCAAGACGTTGGGGCTCCCGGCTTACGCCTCCCCGATTTGTCTCGTTCTTCCCCCGCGCGGGTCTGCCTGGTCTAAGCCGGCTGGGCCCCGCGTGAGTCGCCTCCTATTTCGGGTCTCTCCGCGTCAATCCTTCGAACGAGAGAAAATGAATGACCTCCCGCGCGTGTTTTGCCCTTGTCTGGCTGACACGCGCGTACAAGAATTAGATCACCGAGCGCACCTGGGCTTTTAGGGCAGCTTTCTGAGAAGGGCGCTTTGAGCTGGCTGGGTCGGGTGACCTTTGCGGGGGCATCAGGCCTCTCTGTAACCCCCCCACACACACACACACACAAATAAACACAAATCACACACCGCCCCGCTCGCCCGTGGCCTTCGCCTTGGGAGACGCAGTGCGCAACTTTCAACGCCAAGGAGTAACTTTCACGGGAACGGGACCTCCCGCCACTCCCACCCCACTGTCTCCAGCGTCTTTCTCCCGCACCTTCCTCTGTAGGCTTTTTCTCTAAGTGGGAGGGGGAAAGAGTCCGTGGGTGGGTGGGTGAAGGAGGAGGAGGAGGAGGAGGAGGAGGAGGAGGAGCCCCGGTTGCATTTAACAAAACGACAACAACAAACTTAGAACCAAAATTAGATGGGGGGGAGGGGGAAAATAAGAATCAGTTCAGGCTGAATTTAAACGAAGAGCAACGTCTCCAATCCGCGTGGGAGGAGACCCGGGTTTCCTTGGCAGGCCGAACAGATCCCGTGTGCCTTTGTTGTGCGAAAGAGAAAGGGAAGCGAAGAAGGCGGGATTCGTTTTGGGAAACAGGGAGGGAGGGGGGAAAAAAACCTTTTGCGGGTCGGTTTTGCTTGGGGTTGTTTGGAGAACGAAGGAGGGTAAAACGGAGGGGCGGTTTTGAATTCCCCGATCGCGAGGGACTCGGCGTTGCTTTGCGGCCTGGCCAGGGGGGGGGGGGGACGGAGGGAAGGGGAAGGGGGGAGCGGAGAAGGCCAACTTGACCTACGGGTAGATGAAGCAACATAAATGAAGCTGTAAATCTTTTTATGCCTTGCTCTCTCGTCTCTCCTGCCCAGCCTCCTCCGGCGACCGAGGGAAATAATGCACGGAGACCCCCAGGATGGGCGAAACGGGAATCCCCCTAAACCCCTAAAAGGAGAGAGGGGGGGAAGGCGGAGGTTAGAAGTAGGCCCGATTTTCACTCTTGAAAGGAGCTTTTATCTTCTGAAAAGCCGACGAGACAAATACAGATTTAAAAAAAAAAACATTAAAAAAAAACTGGCCTGTTGATTTTTAAAAGGAATTCTTAAAGGATTTTTTTCTATAGAAATACACTTTTATAAATAAATTCACCGCTCTGCCCGCCCTCATTCAATTTCCAGCGTTTATTTCATAAGTTAGAAATTTCTCACTCTATATAATATACGGCAGCTTCTCTTTCTTCTCTTTCTTTTTCTTTCTTTATTTCCGTTCTTTCCTTTCTTCATTTCTTTTGCGCTCTCTCCTCCCCCCTTCTCTCTCTCTCTCTCTCTCTCTCTCTCTCTCTCTCTCTCTCTCTCTCTCTCTCTCTCTCTTTCTTTTACAGAATCGGGATAACAACAGCAATGTCCACACAATTTTATTTTTTATTTTGGTCTTGAAATTCGGCCTCTAAAAGAGACAGGAACCGAACTCCCCTTGCCTTGAAATCCACGGGGCAAGAAAAGGTGAATCCGAGTTGGATTGCCCGCTTACTTGGATTTGTGTGTTTATTTCGGAGAGAGAGAGAGACGCGTTGGGTGAGCTCATTAGTTCATCGCATTTATTCCTCTTCCAAAAGAAGAGCTTTGCTGGCCGGAAATGCGTGAAGTACAGACTTACCCTCCCAATGAAATCCTTCCGACGACCTCGCTTTCTCTCCAAAGATCAAATAAAATCCAACTTCCAAAACCCCAAAGGCTGCAGAGAAGTTTTTGGGCCTTACACTCTTTACTGAGTGGAAGACGAGGGGGAAATACGCAAAGCCCGTTGATGATCATAAAACTTGGTGGGGGTTATTTTTTTTATTAAGCATATCAATGGTCAGCCACAGAGGCAGACTGCACTCATCCTGAGCCTTCAAAATACACCCTTAAAAAAATCAATTTACTTTTTCCGCTTATTTAATTCCGCTGGCCCTTCTTTCTATTCGCCTTTAAGAGATTAGAGGGGATGGGA